CTCTGACCAGGAGCGAGAGCCAAGAAGCCCCCAAGCATTCACTATGTTATAATAATTGCATTCATTCGGTGCTTGCTTAATCGCCTCGGCAACTCGGAGTTTCGGATCTCGTCTGAAACACTCGAAGAGCATCCCCAAGTAGCAGCTGCCCCTGTGTGGCACAGGGTAGTGGCCCTGCACCGGCCTGCATTTATTATTTTTTCCGCCTGAGGACGACCGCTTGTGTTACGATCGAAACGTCGTGATCTATTATTTTTTCTACCTACGTGACTTTACTGAAAGAACCAAAGATTATGTGAACAAGAGGCTGTCAGTAGGGGGCGATGATTGATGTTTCATCTCAGTTTTGTAATTTGTCGCTAATGTTTAGAATTAGCCAGCATGAATGGCCTACTCGTTTTGAATGACACTACAATAGTATGTTTTACATCCACTGTTAAGCAGACGCTGCATATTTTTTTAAAATAGTTTCTTAATCAGATGTTATCTGATGCAGTATATTTCACTGCAGTAATTACATTTTGTTAAAATTCCTGTCAATAATTTAGAATGAACACTTGTCTGATATTGTGTGTACATGCATCACTTTATTTTTTATAAGGGTCAAACATTGAATAAGTGATGTTAGGACAAAGTGTGTGTGTGTGTTTGGAAGTAACCTGTATAGATAACTCAGGTGAGACCCGTTGTTCTTGTGATACAGGTCAAAGGCTATTTTTGTGTTTCAGGAAGCATCTGGAGCAACTCATTGTCTTTGACATAGAAAGCACACTCGGATCATTCATCAGTTACAAGGCATACCACCTTAAAGTTACACGTAGAGGAGATACATTCTTTACAACACGAATTATAATTTTGTCTTACGTGTTGACGTAGATTTTGTCGAGCTCGGACTAGAAGTGCTCCTTGCTGATTAACATCTGGATGTTCACAACCATGGCTTGAAGCAAGCCCCACTGCTGTTGAGACATTGTCCACCAAAACCGGTCCACAGTTGGCTTGCACTGAAGCAATGCTGCAGTAATTATGGACTCGCACGAAGGCCGTGGGATTTATATTTTGTGTTCAACATTCCTTTGTTTCGTGGAGAGACCGATTAAATTAAAGACGTCTTGTCTGCTGATCTTGTTCATATCTGTGTACATCGATATCCCACATTGCCTGCACGTACACACCACACGCAATTAAATCAATAAAAATAAGAATGACTTCCGGGCATTGCAAAGATCGAGGAATCTCTTTCAATGGAGCGAGTTCAGTGTGTTCGATTCAACATCTCTCTGTCCGTCTGTGTCATCTGTTTGCCTCTGTGTTTCTTTCTGCCTGTGTCTCTCTGTCGTTTCTGTGTTCCTCTTGTCTGTGTCTGTCCGCCTCTCTTGTCTGTGTGTGTGTCTCTCTATCAGCGTCTATCCAACCGTATTCAACGACTGTCAGTAGCAACACGCGCCCGGTCAACTTCCACGGCCCGCGACTCAAACTTGTTTATCTGTAACTTTCGCACCGTACGTAGCCAACCGTGTTAATCCATGGGTCTCTGTGTGTGTATAACTTCTTTCGCACCATACCTAGCCAACCGTGTTAATATATGGGTCTCTGTGTGTGTATAACTTATTTCGCACCATACCTAGCCAACCATGATAATCTATGGGTATCTGTGTGAGTCTCTGTGTGTGTATCTGGAACTTATTTCGCACCGTACGTAACCGAACCTGCCCAGGAAGAGCGGCTGGTATCTGTGGAGCTGTGGGCTGGGTAAATCTGTGAGCAGGAGCGAGAGACAATTAAGCTCCCAAGCATTCACTACGTTATAAACAACACATTTGCACTCATAAGTCGCTTGCCTAATTGCCTCACCAACTCGGTGTTTCGTATCGAACCTCATCTCAAACAATGGAAGGGGGCCCCCTAGTGGCAGCTGCCCCTGTGTGGCACAAGGTGGCCCTGCACCGGCCTGCACGAGACATGAGTCTGTCGGTAGGGGGCGATCATTGACGCGTCATCTCCCTGTGGAGTTTCTGGATAGTGTTACTGGAATTGCCACAATTTTGACCGTGACACCAACATGCAATGTGCGTTGTGAGTGACACAGTGGCTTGTTTGACATCCGCTGTTAAGCACACTGCACAGAGGATGTACTTTCTACGGCAGCTGAAGAAATTCAACCTGCCAAAGACAATGCTGGTGCAATTCTATACAGCGATCATTGAATCCATCCTCACATCCTCCATAACCGTCTGGTACGCTGCTGCCACTGCCAAGAACAAGAGCAGACTGCAGCGTATCATCCACACTGCTGAGAAGATAATTGCCTGCAATCTACCAACCCTCGACGACCTGCACACGACAAGGACCATGAGGCGAGCGAGGAAGATTTGTGGCCGATTCCTCCCACCCTGGACACTCTGTTTCAGCTACTCCCCTCCGGCAGAAGGCTTCGGTCCATCAGGACCAAAACCTCACGCCATAAAAACAGTTTCTTCCCATCTGCTGCTGGCCTGTTAAACAAGGCCAAGGGCTAACACTGATATTAACATTTTATCTACATAATGACACCTTGCCGATATTAACTATGTTAACCTATTTGTATTTTTTATTTTTAAATTATATCTTAAAGCTATTTTATATTCGATATTTATTCAATTGCATATACTTCAGCCCCTTGTGTGTTAGTTAGACTTTTAACCCTTATAGTAAGACTTGTTTAAAACTTATTGAAGATTTTAGATTCCTATATGTTGAATGTATGCACCATCCTGCCAAAGTAAATTCCGTGTCGGTGTGAACTTTCATGGCGAATAAAACCCTTTCTGATTCTGATTCTATCAGTAGTCTATGGGTCTCTATCAGTAGTCTATGGGTCTCTGTGTAGTGACTCTATGGGTCTCTATCAGTACTCTATGGGTCTCTATCAGTACTCTATGGGTCTCTATCAGTAGTCTATGGATCTCTATCAGTACTCTATGGGTTTCTATCAGTAGTCTATGGGTCTCTGTGCGGTGACTCTATGGGTCTCTATCAGTAGTCTATGGGTCTCTATGAGTAGTCTATGGGTCTCTATGAGTACTCTAAGGGTCTCTATGAGTAGTCTATGGGTCTCTATGAGCAGTCTATGGGTCTCTATCAATGTTCCGTTTGGAATTGATAAAAGCTACCATACTGCCTCTACTTGACTACTGTGACATCGTGTATAAATCAGCCCCAAGTACTGTACTGAAGAAGCTTGATTCCATCTATCACTCGGCCTTAAGATTTGCATTGAATTGCCCATATAGGACTCACCACTGTGATCTCTACATTGGGTCAAACTTAACATCTCTTAATGTTCGACGGCTTGTGCACCAGATCTTATTTATTCACGATGTACTTACAAAAAATTCCGCAGACTACCTACTGGATCTCCTCTGTTTCAAAGAACAAATTTGACCTCAGGTCTTCGCTCATTTACCAGCTTCACATTCCCTATTGCCGTACAAAAACTGGAGGAAGAGCTTTTGCTATTGATGCCCCCAGGGTCTGGAATGCTATTGCCAATAAACTGCAACTTAAATCACTACCTATGAGATCTTCACTCAAAACTGCTCTAGAGGAGTTGTACAACTCTAGCTGCCACTGCTATTCAGTGGCCTAAATTATGGCCCTAGATTTTGGTGTTATAATTTATTTATGTAGTTTATTGTTAAAAATTCGGTCACAGTCCCTATGATCACTGTTACATTGCATTTATGGCTTTTATTTTGGTGATTTCGAAAAGTTTTTTTGTTTTGGCCATGTTTTTGTTTATTGTAGTACGGAGTTAGACTGATGGCCTTAATCTTAGTTGTCTTGTGGTTGTTGTTGTTGTTTGACTTGCATCCCACTGAGATTTTTGCACACAGCGTTGGTGTACGGTGCTATTGCTGCTTGAATATTTTGATATTTTTTTCCTGTATTTTCTGTTTGCACAGTCACAAAATCACTTTAAGATGTTTTCTTGTTCATGTTTTTTGTTTGTTGCGGTTGCACCCGATTCAAGAGCCGAATGGCTCACAGGGCTATACCAAATAAATGAACTATGAACTCTTTCTCAGAACTGATTTTGCATTGTACGTCCACCCACGTGGCCCCGCCCCCTCGCGTGCGGATCGTGAATCGAGGTCAAAATCGACCGACGGCTTGCAATCGAAGTCGATTCGAACGTGGAGGAATCGATTTCCCTCGATACCGAATAGATCCACGGATCGATCCTACGCCATCACCGAGAACCAAATCTGAATGGAGGGAGAAGCCAAACAGCTCCCAGCGAGGCGCGAAGTCGCCACCTCCTCTGCCTCCTCTACCTCCTCTACCTCCACCTCGTCCCCCTCCTCCACCTCCTCAGTTGCCTCGCGACATCAACGACCCCGCAGCAGCGGAATCAGCAACAACGACGTCAACGCCCGCCACTGAGGCCTACACCGCCATGCAGCCTGCGGCCTCTGCCCATGCCGCGTCGCATTCTGCGGGTGGGATACAGGCGAGGGTCGGCTGCTGCGGCGGCGAGGAGGAGGAGGAGGATGAAGCGATGCAGCTGCTGACCATCGTAACCTCCGATCTAATCTCCGGCTACGTGGCTCACCTGACAGAACAGGCGGAGCAGCGGCGGCAGCTCCACAAGCAGCAGCACCAGCAGCCTGTGCAGCAGGGACAGCACCAGCAGCCTGTGCAGCAGGGACTGCAGCACCAGCAGCCTGTGCAGCAGGGACTGCAGCAGCAGCACCAGCAGCCTGTGCAGCAGGGACTGCACCAGCACCACCAGCAGCAGCTTCAGCAGTTGCAGGAGCAGCTCCTGAAGGTGCAGCGACAACTCCAGCTGGCGCAGCAGCAACAGCAGCAGCGGGCGGAGAATCTCCGGCAGCAGCAGCTCCAGCATGTGCAGGAGGTGCAGGAGCAGCTTGAGCAGGTGCAGCAGCAACAGAAGCTCGTGCGGCGGCTCCAGCAGGAGCGGCAGCAGCGCCAGGGGGTGCAGGAGCAGCAGCTCCAGGAGGTGCAGGAGCAGTATCGGCTCCAGGACTTACAGCTAATGCATCGGTTCAAGCAGCTGCAGCTGACGCAGCACGAGCAGTTTGAGCAGCTGCGGCAGTTCAAGAACTGGCAGGAACTGTGGCGGCAGGTGCAGCAACTGCGGCGGCAGGCGCAGGAGGTGCAGTCGGAGCTCCAGGCTTCCCAGCGGCTCGTCCGGCAGCGTGTGGAGCAGCTGCAGGAGGTGCTCGACACCCAAGGGGACATCTTGCTCGCTCAGCTTGAAGCCTCCATCCCGGACTTGGCGAGCCGCACGGAGGAGCTGGCGAGGGAGGCGGAGCCGCTCCGGCTGGTCGTGACCATGGCCTGGAAGGTTCTCGCCGGCGGGCCCATGAACTGGGAAGGCGTCCTGTCCATGGTGGTGTTTTGCGCGCTGCTCGTGAAGAGCTTGAGGGCCTCCGGTCGTCTGGGCGACTTGGAGAAGTCGTGGCCCTTGACAGACGCGGTGGCCGCTGTGCTGTTGATCACACGCAAGCCGTGGCTCATGGAGCAGGGAGGCTGGGTGAGGGGTTACACACCGCCAACACCAACACCACTACCGTCGCCACCACTAACACCGCCAACACCACTACCGTTGCCACCACCAATACCACTACCGTTGCCACCACTAACACCGCCAACACCTCTACCGTCGCCACCACCAACACCACTACCGTCGCCACCAATAACACCACTACCGTCACCACCGCAAACACCACTACCGTCGCCACCACTAACACCACCAACACCACTACCGTCGCCACCACTAACACCACTACCGTCGCCACCACTAACACCACTACCATCGCCATCACTAACCACTAACACCACTACCGTCACCACCGCCACCACCAACACCACTACCGTCGCCACCACTAACACCACTACCGTCACCACCGCCAACACCACTACCGTCGCCATTGCCACCACCAACACCACTACCGTCGCCACCACTAACACCACCAACACCACTACCGTCGCCACCGCCACCACCAACACCACTACCGTCGCCACCACTAACACCACTAACGTCGCCACCACCACCAACACCGCCAACACCACCACCGCCAACACCACCACCGCCAACACCACCACCAATAACATGTTTGAGAAATAGGGAGCCATCCCTTGACTGCACCCGGGCATCAATCAGCCTCCCATTGTATCTGTACCAGATGAAAAGGCTTCACAAACTACGTGGTCAAAATAGATGTTAAATAATGTGGGAGCCAGAGGACATTCCTGTCGCACCCCAAGGTGTACAGGGAATGGCTGCGACTCCCGGCCACGTAGTTTTACCCAGGCCTGCTCACCATCATGAAGGTCGTTCATGATCGTGAGCAGCAGGTCAGGGACTCCGAAAGCACGAAGAACAACCCAGATCCCAGGCCTACTGATGGTATCATAGGCCTTGACCAGGTAAATAAAGCAGAGATGTGTAGGTCTTGTTGGAATTCCCTACACCTCTGCTGTAGCAGACGGACAGATCACATGGCATCTGTGCAGGACCGCTCTTTCCTGAAACCGCATTGGGGCTCCGTAAGCCTCTCCTCAGCATGCCTGGCAAGGCGATGTTAAATAATCCTTGCCAGGACCTTTACCAGCACACTAAGGAGTGAGATGCCCCTGTAGTTGTTACAGTCTGTGCGGTCCCCCTTTTTAAAGAGGGGGACCGCCAGGGCATCCTTCCAATCCTGCGGAACCCGTCCAGTGGTCCAGACTGTTGTTATGATGTCATGTAGGGCAGTTTCAAGTTTTCAAGTTTCATTCATTAGGTGTAGCCCTGTGAGCCATGCGGCTCTTGAGTCGGGTGCAACCGCAACAAAGTATGAACAGAGAAACATCTTAAAGCGACAACGACGCGCAACAGAAACATCCTGGATAAACCAGCAAATCTTACAGAAAAAAACACCGTATTACAACGCTGTGTGCAAAAATCCCAGTGTGATGCAAGACAAACAATAACAACCAGAAGACAAGTTAGATTCAAGTTATCAGGCCAACTCCGCACTTCCGCAAGAAACATGGCTTAACCATCTGTTTTAGAAATCACCAAAATAAAGCTATAAAATACATAGTGGTCAGCACACCATACGATTGAACCCGAGTTCAACTCCCAGCCACGGCTAACATCACAGTGAGGAGCTATATCTGAACTAGTCCCTGGCTTCCACCATATAAACTAAATTAAAAATATATATTTCACCAGGTAAGGCCCAGAGCTATATAGCTCTTTTTTATAAACGATCTGGCTATCACAAATGATAGCTCAACGAAGTGGCTCATCATGGGGAAATTTATAGCAGCCAAATACTCTATAAACGCACGTTGATTCTAAATGTGGAGAGGGAAAAACCGGAGGCCCCGGAGAAAAATCCATGCGACCACGATGAGAGAGAAATTCAAACTCCAAATATACACGTGTAAGGGTCGGGATCTAACCCACGACCTCCTATATACCAGGCGAGGTAGTTAACATCTCGCCACCTCGAAGTATGGTCATACAACCATCGTGACCAAAATGGCACAGACGCATCCATCTGTCTAGCAGTGGATTGACAAATGTCCTCGATTTTATTATTTGAAAACTGCTGAACTGTACTGTCTGCTACACTTCACACAGCATTCAGTTGCCTTGGAGGTGGGTGGGCGGCTGCACAGCATGGCATCTCAATGCCTGTGTTATCCACCAACACTGCTTGCTTGTTAATGGATTATACATGCATCAGCGCCATTAAACGTCGTCAACAAAGGACAGCTGGGCAAAAAATTCAGTTAAAGATTTTTTTTTAATCAAGGTGTTTCTTTCTTCATATGCACTGCTTATCACGGTTGCTGATGCAGCACGCCAGTAAAGATTTATGCGGCACTTTGTCAATCCGCCGCTGGATGAAGGATTCCCCAACAGTATTGGTCATGGGAATTGTTGGACCATGCTTTCCCACCAGCCCTTTCGTGAAAATACTGCTGAATAATGGTCTGATTACACCATGTTGGGTCATTTAGGTTGTTTGACCATACTTCACCATGCTGATCAGTGTGGGTTGTGAAGTAGTGTGGACCTAGGACCGGTTCAGATATTATTCGCCGCTGAGAGTCATCCAAATTGCGTGTAATTCCAGGTGTTCGCTTGTTTATCAAGGACAACCTCAATGAGTATCATGACTCTTTCAGGAGGCCCCTGCCATACTTCAGCCATAGGGGTCTTCCACGAGTGCTGTCTATTACAATCTGCGGGTCATTTTTTTTTATTTGGCAAATCGGGACCGTGACAGCAGCACACAATGGCGTGATCTTGCGACAGACGTTGCGAGGTCTTTAACATCCGACTGTCAAGTGGAAGGCGCGTATGTTTACGGTTAATGCAACGGCAGCCGTGAGCAGGGTGAGTGCCGGATTTGAACGGTGAATTTCTGCAACAAGCGGCGAACGTGGTAAAGCTGGCATGCGCCACCAAAATGATTCAGCCGCGGGGATAAATGGCCACTGCTTTTGTTGATGGTTTGGAGGGGGGGGTAGCTATCCCCGTTGAGAAACTGAATAAGTAAATAATTGTCCTCTGTCATTTGAGCTACCTCTGTCGTCTACTCCGTGTCCAATGCTAATAGGCGTCTCTCTCTTACTCCGGATCATCAAAGCAATGCTGCGGTTGCCACCTAGCGGTTGAATCCCCGTACTGCCATTTCTAATAACATGACGTAAACCAACTACGTAGATGCATATATAAATAAATAAAGGATCGCCATTCAAATTTATAAAAGACAATAACCTATCACAGCAGCAACATGAGCGCGGGACGGGCAACGAACGGTTTCAGCAACGCCAAAAGACGTGTACTGTGTGGACAAAACTTTTCAACAAACGCCACCCTCGCTCAGCATTTCGCTTGGGAGATCATCTCTGCCCGCTGCCTTTCCTGGTCTTAGGCTCTGGATCGCCTTAAGTACTTCCTCAACAGATGGTACCTCAGCCAGCCACTCACAGGGGGTGACTTCTTCGACACCTTTGAGGCACCGCAGCCTCAGCAGGGTCATCTCCACTTTGTGCCACGATGTTTTCCAGGCTGAGGGATTTCCCCTCCTCCAGGACCTCACAGAAATGCTCAGCAAATCTGCAAACCCGTTCCTGGGGGTCGGAGATTGGATCACCGTTCTTTCCCCTAATCATAGTAATAAGTGTGGTGCTGCAGGTTACTTCTTTATGGAATTAAAGAGCGATTTGTGATCATGGGCCATTGAGGCAGACTCCATCTCCTTAGCAACCCGCGACAACCGACCGTCCTTACAGCGCCTCACGGCTCTCCGAACCTCCGAGCGAAGGCTGCGGTAAGCCTCATTCTCTGACGTGGGATGCTGCAGACGATGAGAGTCAGCCTGTCGCTTTTTTTTCAGCCAGCCTGAACACCTACTTTGTGAGCCAGGGTCTATGGGGATAGGTCTGGACCGCGTACCCAAAGCAGCCAATTGCAGCTGCATGAGCCACAGTCCTCGCCCATTTCCCCTCGACATCAGGAGGAGCGGGGGATGAACCAGCCCGAAGGTTCTGGAAAGGGGCGTGGCCAGTGGTGGAGCTTGGAAAGGGGCGTGGCCAGAGGTGGAGCTTGGCCACGCCCGGCATATATAAGGGAGACCGAAACCAGAGGTTCGGGGCTGTTAGCGGGTCTTGGGTCCTGGCTGCGTCTCTGCTCGTCGTGATCCCTTCGTCTCCGACCACGTGGCTGTTCTGCAACACCCTCTCCGTTGCCGCCGCCGCTACGCTAGTCGGACAGCTGGCGCAGCGTATGCCGGAGATGGGCTGTGTGTTAGGATCGTCTATGTGCAGCTGTGTTACGAAGTGTATCGCCCCGTGTGCTCTTAATAAATAAGAAGCCTTCTACTCGACGTGTCTCGGAAGTCGCTCAGTGCACACGCTTTGTCTTTGAGAACTGGTCGGCCTACACCAGATACAGCAGTAGAAGCAGTCTTCTCTATGGCCTAGACTCCTACCCAGTGTCTCACTCCCCAGTGTCTCACTACCCAGTGTCTCACCACCCAGTGTCTCACTAGCAGTGTCTCACTACCCAGTGTCTCACCACCCAGTGTCTCACTAGCAGTGTCTCACTCCCCAGTGTCTTACTACCCAGTGTCTCACTACCCAGTGTCTCACTACCCAGTGTCTCACTAGCAGTGTCTCACTACCCAGTGTCTCACTAGCAGTGTCTCACTACCCAGTGTCTCACTACCCAGTGTCTCACTAGCAGTGTCTCACTACCCAGTGTCTCACTACCCAGTACCTCACTAGCCAGTGTCTCACTTCCCAGTGTCTCACTACCCAGTGTCTCACTACCCAGTGTCTCACTAGCAGTGTCTCACTATCAGTGTCTCACTACCCAGTGTCTCACTACCCAGTGTCTCACTAGCAGTGTCTCACTACCCAGTGTCTCACTACCCAGTGTCTCACTAGCCATTGTCTCACTACCCAGTGTCTCACTACCCAGTGTCTCTCTACCCAGTGTCTCACTAGCCAGTGTCTCACTACCCAGTGTCTCACTGCCCAGTGTCTAATTAGCAGTGTCTCACTACCCAGTGTCTCACTACCCAGTGTCTCACTACCCAGTGTCTAATTAGCAGTGTCTCACTACCCAGTGTCTCACTACCCAGTGTCTCACTACCCAGTGTCTAATTAGCAGTGTCTCACTACCCAGTGTATCACTAGCAGTGTCTCACTACCCAGTGTTTCACTACCCAGTGTCTCACTACCCAGTGTCTCTGTACCAGTGACTCACTACCCAGTGTCTCACTAGCAGTGTCTCACTACCCAGTGTTTCACTACCCAGTGTCTCACTAGCAGTGTCTCACTATCAGTGTCTCACTACCCAGTGTCTCACTACCCAGTGTCTCACTGGCAGTGTCTCACTACCCAGTGTTTCACTACCCAGTCTCACTAGCAGTGTCTCACTATCAGTGTCTCACTACCCAGTGTCTCACTACCCAGTGTCTCACTAGCAGTGTCTCACTACCCAGTGTCTCACTACCCAGTGTCTCACTAGCAGTGTCTCACTACCCAGTGTCTCACTACCCAGTGTCTCACTAGCAGTGTCTCACTATCAGTGTCTCACTACCCAGTGTCTCACTACCCAGTGTCTCACTAGCAGTGTCTCACTACCCAGTGTCTCACTACCCAGTGTCTCACTAGCCATTGTCTCACTACCCAGTGTCTCACTACCCAGTGTCTCTCTACCCAGTGTCTCACTAACCAGTGTCTCACTACCCAGTGTCTCACTGCCCAGTGTCTAATTAGCAGTGTCTCACTACCCAGTGTCTCACTACCCAGTGTATCACTAGCAGTGTCTCACTACCCAGTGTTTCACTACCCAGTGTCTCACTACCCAGTGTCTCTGTACCAGTGACTCACTACCCAGTGTCTCACTAGCAGTGTCTCACTACCCAGTGTTTCACTACCCAGTGTCTCACTAGCAGTGTCTCACTATCAGTGTCTCACTACCCAGTGTCTCACTACCCAGTGTCTCACTGGCAGTGTCTCACTACCCAGTGTTTCACTACCCAGTCTCACTAGCAGTGTCTCACTATCAGTGTCTCACTACCCAGTGTCTCACTACCCAGTGTCTCACTAGCAGTGTCTCACTACCCAGTGTCTCACTACCCAGTGTCTCACTAGCAGTGTCTCACTACCCAGTGTCTCACTACCCAGTGTCTCACTAGCCATTGTCTCACTACCCAGTGTCTCACTACCCAGTGTCTCTCTACCCAGTGTCTCACTAACCAGTGTCTCACTACCCAGTGTCTCACTGCCCAGTGTCTAATTAGCAGTGTCTCACTACCCAGTGTCTCACTACCCAGTGTCTCACTAGCAGTGTCTCACTACCCAGTGTTTCACTACCCAGTGTCTCACTAGCAGTGTCTCACTATCAGTGTCTCACTACCCAGTGTCTCACTATCCAGTGTCTCACTGGCAGTGTCTCACTACCCAGTGTTTCACTACCCAGTCTCACTAGCAGTGTCTCACTATCAGTGTCTCACTACCCAGTGTCTCACTACCCAGTGTCTCACTAGCAGTGTCTCACTACCCAGTGTCTCACTACCCAGTGTCTCACTAGCAGTGTCTCACTACCCAGTGTCTCACTACCCAGTGTCTCACTAGCCATTGTCTCACTACCCAGTGTCTCACTACCCAGTGTCTCTCTACCCAGTGTCTCACTAACCAGTGTCTCACTACCCAGTGTCTCACTGCCCAGTGTCTAATTAGCAGTGTCTCACTACCCAGTGTCTCACTACCCAGTTTCTCACTACCCAGTGTCTAATTAGCAGTGTCTCACTACCCAGTGTCTCACTACCCAGTGTCTAATTAGCAGTGTCTCACTACCCAGTGTCTCACTAGCAGTGTCTCACTACCCAGTGTCTCACTACCCAGTGTCTCACTAGCAGCGTCTCACTACCCAGTGTTTCACTACCCAGTGTCTCACTACCCAGTGTCTCTGTACCAGTGACTCACTACCCAGTGTCTCACTAGCAGTGTCTCACTACCCAGTGTTTCACTACCCAGTGTCTCACTAACCAGTGTCTCTGTATCAGTGTCTCACTACCCAATGTTTCACTACCCAGTGTCTCACTACCCAGTGTCTCTGTATCAGTGTCTCACTACCCAGTGTCTCACTACCCAGTGTCTCTGTATCAGTGTTTCACTACCCATTGTCTCACTACCCAGTGTCTCACTACCCAGTGTCTCACTAACCAGTGTCTCACTACCCAGTGTCTCACTACGCAGTGTCTCACTACCCAGTGTCTCACTACCCAGTGTCTCTCTACCAGTGACTCACCACCAAGTATCAGATCAGAGAACAACGCCAAAAGGCGACCAGCACAAGGACAATGCCATGCGTACCAGCAGAGCATTTACAGCTCGGGGCTGAGTAGCAGCAGCAGCAGCTGTGTGATGACGATGATGATGATGGGGCTCTCTTTTCGTTCTGTTTCTCTGCTGCCACACAGGAGGGCTTCCTGGGAGCGTTCGGGCCGGGGACGCCCACCTATGAGAGGAGCCGCAGACGCCGAGCTCCGACGGGCAGCGACAGTGGAGACGAGAAGAGAGAGACAGAGAGAGAGACAGAGGCTTTTGACTTTTAAACAACTTTCATTGCCGCGTTAAAAACGTGCCAACTACAAACTTAAATGTTCATGTTTTAAAAAAGAAATTCCACAAAAATAATTGTCGTGGGATGCATTTTATTGAGTGCGTATACACAATTTGACTTTAAGTCTTGCCGCAGAAAACTGGTTACACACAAACAGAACGTACAGCCAAGAAATTGTGATGACGTGTTGTTTTAAATTGCCTGAATTTCTGTTAAAACACTTTTTTAAGTCACAACGTCAGACAGTTGTCTTTGATCGTTCACAATGAACGTTTGTGTGTTTAGCGTTACCGACGTAAAGTGCGTGCAAGTAAGTCGTGACTTTTAACCGTAATCTTAACTTCTAATGGAACATAAATCTGAGTAGTAGTATCATGGCACTGAGCTATGTGAAAATATAGCTGGGTACGCTCAGTTACATAACAAAAAAGTCATTTTCATGTTCCGTTGAAATACGTTCACTCAGTGTACTAAGCAACCAAAAACGACATCATAATGAACAGAGGATTAACCTTTAGTTATGGAATGCACCGTCGGATCCTAAAGATTGTTGAACTATGAGAGCACAACGACGCCTATCTTATAATCCTGTGGGGAGTATACAACATGCACACACACCAAAGTGGTCTGAGCATTCGTGGAAAATGTGCGGTACAACACATCGTTCAATTCCTGTCAAGCCTAACGCATTGCTTACGAGTATCCTATTAGAAGTGTAACAGTCGGCATTGGTCACAGGTTCATAACGTATATATATGTATCGTGTACAAAATCCTCTTCGAAGACGTCTGGCCAACGTGAAAGAGTCAAAATTACCCCGCCCGACTCAAAGGGGCTCTCCAGAGCCCCCTCTCGTGGAGCCCCATCTGTCAGCAGTGGCACAGGTAAGAATTGCAGGGCTACGCCTCTTACCTGTTACACAATGTCTGGCAATAGTGGCGGTGAGCATTGACCGAGATTGAGTGATTGATGTGAAACTATCTGCAGTAAATGATATGTTGCGTCTCTTAAAACGTTTGTGCTTTTTTTTTCTAGCTGCGCTCCGAGAACAATTTTCCCGGATGATTGTTGCGTTTGTTCAAATGCATGTTTTTTATCTTCATTAGACCTTTGCCAGTACCAAAATGTAATAATAATAGTAAGGGTTTTTCCCCTTTTTTTGGCAACAAAACTGAAACCTTTTTACAAGGATTCATGTTACTGCATTAACCACAATACCTGCAGTCAAAATGCAAACAAAACACATACTATGATAATATATGATGCATTGTCCCTTAGAAAGAAAGCCGTCCCTTGGTGTGGACCAATCAGTTTCAAGGACAATGCCACAAATATTATCATAGTGTGTTTTTTGTTTGCAATTTGCAGGTATTGTGGTTAATGCAGTAGCATGAATCCTTGTAAAAAGGTTTCAGTTTTGTTCCCCAAAAAAAGGGTAAAAGCCCTACTATTATTACATGTTTTATATACACATATGTAGCGACTCCAACTGAGTCGCAGACGTTGTCTAGGGAGCAACACCACTTCACCGACTCAACATAACACAAGCCACGCTTGGGTGTTGAACGCCCATCTAGCTACGCTACGGCAGCACCGGACACGGCTCGTTATCCCGGCCCGGACCCTGAGCTGGGTCCCAGACCGCATGGCTAGAGGCTTCTCCCCCCGACGTGGATCTTCATCGCTGGCAACACGAAAAACCCCGGGGCCCTCGTAGGGCCCCCGTCACATCGGCCCGGGCCGGGGCTGCCTCCGCCCCTCGCCCCGCCCACCTTCCGGATCTCTCCGCCTCTTTCCCGAAGGCTCCCCGAGAGCTCCTCTACGCCACGTGACCGCCCGGCAGCCCCCCTCCAACGTCGTCCGGCCGCGTGCTGGCGGGTCAACCGGCGTGTCGTGCCCCAACGCGAGCCCGGCTGGCCCGCGCCGCACGCCGCTCGCGGTGCCTCCGCGCTGACCGGCGCTCAGCCAGGCCCCCCGCTAGGCCCGGCGGCGCCACGCCCGGTGAGCGGGCCGCACGTGATGCCAACGCATCGTCCGCCGTGGCTTCGTAAGCCCGGCACCACGCGGTGACAGTCGCAGTCACTACACACGCGTTTTCATCTTCTTTGGTTCTTTCGGTAAAGTCACCACGTAGAATGAGAATAAAGTAATAAATTAATAAAATAAAATAACACGATCAAATTCTCACGACGTTTCAACACAAGTGGCCTGTTCTCGAGACAGTCTCGTCCCTTCACCTGATGAACACACACTACACCGATAACTCTTTAGAATTGCCGCTTGTTGTCGTCTTTCAGCACGGTTGGGCAACGTGCGGTGGTGGTGTGACAGAAAGAGTTCAACGTACACACACATACACACATACACACACATACACACACACATACACACATACACACACATATACATACATACACACACATACAAAGACAAAGATCCCCCATATAGCCTGTACCAGACTGTAGGGGCAAGTGCTGTTAGCGAGCACCTATGAAGGCCGAACGGTACACGAGGGGGTGGGTGGCCAGCACCATGCCCGACCGCCTTTGTCTCCCTAGTGGCGATGTTTACACACCGCACCAGGTACTCATTTGAGGCTGAGTCGACCTAGGGGAGGCCCGGGACCGGTCCAGATAATCGTCACTGGTGTTGGCCGTGAGCGGGAATCGAACCCGGGTCGCCATGTTCATAGCGCAGCGCGCTAACCGCTACACTATCGCTCCCCACACACACACATACACACATACATACACACATACATACACACACATACATACACACATACATACACACATACACACACACATACATACACACACATACATACACGTACATATACATACACACATACACATACATACACACATGCACACATACACACACACATACACACATACACACACATACACACATACACACACACATACATACACACATACACACACATACATACACAACAACAACAACCGCCATTCGCCACTAAGTGGCGGTGACGTCACCACGACGCTTGTGCCAGGCTATGTGCACCCTGAGGCCACGTGAAGTGTCAAACGCCCGCTGGCAGGAGGTCACGGGGCAGACCCAGGTTCCACGGGTCGACTGACTGAGATGACTGGCTGATGCACCACCTGTGCCCCCTACTGTGCCAACCTGCTGTGCTTTAGCCACCCGGCGCTCCGCTCGTTGTTCTGAGCGTCGCTCCTCCGTCCTCCGTTGTTGTTGGAGGGCGACTGCTTCCAACTGCCCAGTAGCATCCTTCACGAGCCTCCTCCACAGAGGCCGATCTTGACACCGCTGGTACCAGTCATCGGCAAGTCCACTCAGCTCCACATCCTCCTGTACCACATCACTCCATCTCTTCTCTAGCCCGTGCCGCGCCCGCTTAGCCCCCTCAATCCGGCCAAACAAAAGCTGTTTCGGCATGCGGTGGCTGGGCATGCGGGCTACATGACCCAGCCATCGCAGCCTTGCCTGCCGGAGGAGCTCACCGATGGGACCCTGCCCAGATCTTTCAAGAATTTGTGAGCTCCTCACACAATCCAGTCTGGTTAAACCCAGGATGGATCGTAGGCAGGCCAGCCTAAATGTTTCTAACCGGGGAAGATGTTCCATTAGGGGGGTCCACGTTTCGCAAGCGTAGAGAAGGGAGGGAATGACCGTGGCCGAGAAGACCTGAAGCTTAGTGCGGAGCGACAGACCAGGTAGCTTCCACACAGCGTTACGCAACCGATGAAAAGATATTGCCGCTCGACTGATTCGGAGTGAGACCTCTGCTGTTAAACTGGAGCCAGTCATAAGCACACTGCCCAGGTATGGGAAACTCTCCACTCTCTCCACAACTGCCCCATCACCGATTGGGAGTTGTGGGGGTGGAGTGTCCGATGGTACAAAATACCCAGGCAGGTGCTTAGTTTTGGTGGGGCTGATGGTAAGGCCCCACCTCTTAGTGGCACGCTCCAGTCTCAGCAGCAGCGTCTCCAACTCCTCCTCTGACTGATCAGCTATTACCAAATCATCAGCATACATAACGTGGTTAAGCAATAGGGAGCCATCCCTTGACCGCACCCGGTCATCGATTAGCCTCTCATTATATCTGTACCATATGGAGATTCCCCCGGTACAGCTATTGAAGGCTTCACGAACTACGTGGTCAAAATAGATGTTAAATAATGTGGGAGCCAGAGGACATCCCTGTCGCACCCCACGGTGTACAGGGAATGGCTCTGACTCCCGGCCATGTAGTTTTACCCGGGCCCGCTCACCATCATGAAGGTCCTTAATGATCGTGAGCAGAGGGTCAGGTACTCCAAAAGCACGAAGAACGACCCAGAGCCCAGGCCTACTGATGGTATCATAGGCCTTGACCAGGTCAATAAAGCAGAGATGTAGGTCTTGTTGGAATTCCCTACACCTCTGCTGTAGCAGACGGACAGAAAATATGGCATCTGTGCAGGACCGCCCTTTCCTGAAACCGCATTGGGGCTCCGAAAGCCTCTCCTCAGCGTGCCTGGCAAGGCGATGCTGAATAATCCTTGCCAGGACCTTTCCCGGCACACTGAGGAGTGAGATGCCCCTGTAGTTGTTACAGTCTATGCGGTCCCCCTTCTTAAAGAGGGGGACCACCAGGGCATCCTTCCAATCCTGCGGAACCCGTCCAGCGGCCCAGACCGTTGTTATGATGTCATATAGGGCAGTCTGTGCACAAACGCCACCCTCCCTCAGCATTTCGCTTGGGAGATCATCTCTGCCCGCTGCCTTTCCTGGTCTCAGACTCCGGATCGCCTTCAGTACTTCCTCAACAGATGGCACATCAGCCAGCCACTCACAGGGGGTGACTTCTTCCAATATTTGAGGCACCACAGCCTCAGCAGGGTCATCCTCACTTTGTGCCACGATCTTTTCCTGGCTGAGGGATTTTCCCTCCCCCATGACCTCACAGAAATGCTCAGCAAATCTGCAAACCTGTTCCTGGGGGTCGGAGATTGGATCACCGTTTTTTCCCCTAATGATGGTAATAGGTGTGGCGCTGCAGGTTACTTTTTTGATGGAGTTAAATAGAGATTTGTGATCGCAGGCCACTGAGGCAGACTCCATCTCCGCAGCAACCCGCGACCACCACCCATCCTTGCAGCGCCTCACGGCTCTCCGAACCTCCGAGCGAAGGCTGCGGTAAGCCTCCTCATTCTCTGACGTGGGATTCTGTAGCCGATGACAGTGGGCCTGTCGCTTTTTCTCAACCATCCTGAACACCTCCTGTCAGCCAGGGTCTCTGGGGAGGTCTGGACCGCGTACCCAAAGCAGCCATTGCAGCTGCATGAGTCACAGTCCTAAACCTCGCCCATTTACCCTCGACATCAGGAGGAGTCGGGGACGATGCCAATCCCAGCCGCAAGCGATGATGAAATTCTCGCTTGCAACTTTCATCAGATAACTGAGACCAGGCCACTTTAGGTTGGAATGGGGTCCTGGGTGTACACCCACCACCGGAGTGGAAGAATGGCAGGCGCATCTTACAGATGACTAGTCGATGGTCAGAGGGCAGATCAGCTCCACGGTAGGTCCTGGTGTCAAGGACATAGGCTCGCATCCGCTGGTCCGTCACTATGTAGTCCAGCAGATGTTCTTGCTTGGACCCGGCATGCATCCATGATGTTGTGTGGATGCGCCGATGCCGGAACAGCGTGTTGGTAATTACAAGCCCATGGGCTGCACAAAAATCTAGCAGCCTCTTACCGTTGTTATTGAGCTGATCTGGCCCATGCCCTCCAATCACTCCAGACCAGGTGCCAGTATCATGACCAACTCGGGCATTAAAGCCACCCAACATGATGACTCTATCCGGAGGGGCCACTTTAGCCAGCACCTGTGACAGGAGGTCATAGAAGGCATCTGACTCATCGGCTTTGCCTGCATCCCTCCACGGATGTTCATCTTCGGTGGGGGCATAAGTAACCACGACCACCATTCCTCGCCTCCGGTTGATGGAAAGGTGAGCCCAAAGTAGCCTGGGGCTTACAGCTTCCCACACCTCACCGCCACGCTCCCACGCCCCCTTCATTCTTTTGTTCAAAAGAAGAGCCACACCGTGTTGTTTGGCAGTCTGCTGCCCCGAGTAGAGGACTGTCCACCCCTCATGGTGGCAGGAGCCAGAGCCGGTCCACCGGACCTCCTGAATGCCGCATAGATCCAGGCGGTACCGGTCCAGCTCCCGACAGAGGAGTGGCAGCCTCTCCTCCGCAGTGAGCGTTCGAACATTCCACGTGGCCACCCGTAGTGGCTTTTCGTTGTTTCTGGAGGAGCCCCGAGGGTGGATATTCAATCTCCTGGCTCCGCCAATTGGGGTTTGGCCAGGAGACGTCATAGACGCCTGGCTCCCGGGGGCCTCCGGCACAAGCTTATTAGTTACATATTTCAGTTTACCTCGTGGTTTCGTGGTAATTAATTGAAGGTGGAGGGGTTACCAGCCCCTCGCACCCGTCCAGAGCCCCCGTTTAGCCCCTGTGGTGGACACATATGCCATGAGGGGAGGAGCCAATCAAAATTGGATCTCCCCCCACAGCACTGTCCACGACAGAGTTGCTCGTCCGGCACCGCGAGGAGGTAGGGGGTTGTTTTGCCGGACACATACACACACACATACACACACACATACCAACATACACACACATACACACACATACATACACACATACACACACACATACACACACACATACACACACATACACACACATACACATACACACACATACACACACACAGACACACACACACATACAACAACAACAACCGCCATTCGCCACTAAGTGGCGGTGACGTCACCACGACGCTTGTGCCAGGCTATGTGCACCCTGAGGCCACATGAAGTGTCGAACGCCCGCTGGCAGGAGGTCACGGGGCAGACCCAGGTGCCACGGGTCGACTGACTGAGATGGCTGGCTGATGAGCGTGAAG